CCCAGCCAATCCGGGCGCCGGCCCCGCCCCGCGCGCCAATCGGGGCCCGTGCCCCGCCCCGCCCCCGCTCGGCCTATCCGCGTCCACGTCGTTTGCATGCCGAGCCTCGCCCCCCGCCCATTCATGCGCGCGCTGCCCCGGGATGCTCCGTGCGCGCCCCCCCCCCGGGGGGCACGTGCTCCCTCAGATTTCCCTGCTGCAGCCCGAGCCATTGCTCGCGCTGTTTGCCCCCCCCTGCGCTTTCCCTCCAAGCAGGACTGGACACAGCCGGCATCTGGTTGCTCTGCCCTCTGGGCATCCCTACACTGCCCAGCCCGGCCCCTCTGGGCTCGGAGACCCCCACGCTTCGCATCCCTGGAGGAGAGCGGGAGTGCGACTGCAGCGTCCACCGGGGTCTTGGCACCGACCGTCTCGGGGATCACGACGCACAGGGACGCACCGAAGCGATTCCCCGCGCACGCCGCATCTCCTCCTCCAGGCCAGGTGTCACCAGAAGACATCCTGGCGCCGGCACGGTTCCTGGAGCAGCGCTCTGCTCCCGCGACCCAGCCAGCACTTATGGACACCGTCTATACAAACAACGACCGCGCCACGATGCCCCTGATAAATCCGGGGTGCGTCCACGCCTCGAGCCCCGTGCCCAGCTCCGGTCCCGCGCCTCACCAGGGCGCAGACGAGCTGGGGGTGCAGAGAAGGGCAGCACGGATGATGGGGTGCGGAGGGGCTTCCCGGCCAGGAGAGACCAGACAGGCCGGGCCTGTTCAGCTCAGAAGAGAGACGCTTGGGCGGGGGCAGGAGAAGCGCTTACAAAATACTCAATGGTGAAGAAATGCAAAAATCTAGACCTCTTGGTTCAGAGATGATACCTTTTATTAGACCAACTGAGAAGCTGCAAAGAAAATGGTATTTTTTGCCAGCTTTCGGGCTCACGCGCCCTTCCTCAGGCTCAGGGAAAGCTACAGATGGTATAAAGTCCCCACATGTAGGAAATAAACTTCATTTTTGCACAGAGAAAGCTGAAGCTGGAAATCTGCCCTAGGCACTTTTTACCATCCTTAACTTTCCCTGAGCCTGAGGAAGGGCGCGTGAGCCTGAAAGCTTGCAGAAAAATACCATTTTCTTTGCAGCTTCTCAGATGGTCTAATAAAAGATATCCAAGGGTTCTAGGTTTTGCATTTCTTTTTGTCTCAGACCAACACAGCTACCAAGTACATCCCTAAATGGTGAAGAGAAAGTCAACGGATTTATCGTTGACTCCCTTTTATCTGCCCACTTTGCACCTCTTCGACTGCTCTTTCAGCTCCGGAGCCCCAGACAACCCTCCCCACCAGCCCCAGCCAGCGCACAGCACCGCTCCAGCACTGGCCTGTCTCCCGGTCTGCCGCGGTTTGTCCGAGGCACCGAGGGTGGCGGGTGTAGGAGCTGGCTGCTGGGTCCCTCTACGGCAGCGGTTCCCAAACTCAGACAATTGCGCACCACCACTTTAAAACGATACAACCTTAAGTACCACCAGCAATTTTTTGTCATATAAAGTCATTATAATAAATCTGTGAACGCGAAGCACTGACAGGCTGCCTGCGCACCGCGGATTGGGAACCGCTGCTCTGTGGGGGAAAGGAAGGGGCTTGGGGAGCATCCGTGTGAGCGCAGCGTCCGCCTCCCGCTAGGGTGGCAGCGGGGAGCTACACGGGCTCCGCTGGCCTTGCCCTGGCTCCCCGAGCGTGGATCCGTTCGGCCAAGGAGCCGCTAGATCCAGGATCCCAGGCCCCACGGCCGACAGCGAGAGCCACAATGAGGTGACAAGGAGGAGGCAGGCGCAGTGAGCGTCCCGTGGGGCTGATGTGAGGCCGTGGCTGGGGCAGGGCAGGGCAGGGCAGGCGGAGGTGCCTGGAGGGCTGGTTTCAGCTGTCTCCTACCTTCAGGCCTGTACTGGGCGATGATGGTCACCGTCTGTCCTGCCCGCTTCAGGGCTGCGGCCGCCTGCTCATGAGTCGCGTTGCGGAGGTTCGCCCCATTTACCTGACCGGAAACAAAACGACAGCATCGGGCTTTAGTTCACCAGCCCGGCCCCCTTCCCTCTCCGCTTCCAGCCTCTCCCCTGGCTGTTGCCTGCTCAGATGCCCCTTCCCTTGAGCTGATGCTGCCTGGAGGTGCTAGGATCCCAGTTCATGTCTTGCCCTTTGCAATCCCTTCCTACTTATATGTCACCCCAGAGCTCATCCCAGCCGGGGACCCAGCTGGAGATCGCCAGCCACACTCGGGCCCTCCACGACTGGACTGATGGCGGAGAAAGGTGCATGGAGAAGACGCTGCCCTGCATAGCCGGGGTGCGTGCCCGGCTGGTCCTTCCTTCCACCACCTTCTCCTGGCTGAGTACGTGACAGGAATTGAAGAGGCAACTGCTGCAAATAGCCCCTGCGGAGACTGCACACGCACTGGCTCAGCTCTAGGTATGCTCACAGTCTGCTACCCCACAGCCCTCCTTTGCCCAGGTGATTCGGGGCCTCCGCCTCATCCCCGCGTGCCGCCCAGGAGGAGGTACCAGCCCTCCTTCGCTGGAGGCGGACCGCACGGTCCAGACAATGAGATGGAGTCGCCCTTTGGACCATGCTGAGCTCTCAGCTGCATTGGGTTATCTTTCCAGCAGCAAGACAAGCTCCAGATGAGCCTTGGCAGCTGCACAGTTAAATGTCTCTGAATCTGGCACTGTGGCTTTCCAGCCTGACTCCACGGCATCTCCCGAGGGCTCCCAGCAGTTCGAAATCCAGCCGAGCTAGAAAATCAGCAATAGCTAGCATAGCCCGAGCAAGAGCAGGGGCAGCTTTCTCGCTCCCGGCACTGCCGAGGTATCCTCTGCTGCTCCTCTCCGGGGCCCCGTTTCCACCTGTGCTGATGCCCCTCAGTCCTGACCTGCAGGTCCCCAGCTACTCCAGTTCCACTCGTGCCAGTTACTGTGGTTGTATCCTATGCACAAATGTGCACTCGGGACTTCATTAAAAGCTGCTTTCTCCTGGGACTCCATCTGGGTTTGAACCCAGGTCTCTAGGGGTAAAATGTTCTTGCCTAGCAAATCTGCCCGTGAATTGAAAAGGAAGAAAATCCTTCCTTAGCCATGGGCGAATCAGTAACTTTTGATCTAAGCCTGTTCACGTCAGAACTTGAGAAGAACATTTCTCTGGTGACAAAGTGCTAAAGTCAAAGGAAGCAGCAACCACCCTGGGCCAACCCAGACCAGTCTGTTCACCTGTGCTCAGGCATTAACTCCTTATGCCTGAAACTGAAACCCTCTTCAGCTAAATCCAGCCCGGCTAGATTAATTTAGCAAGAGCTCAGCATTTGGCCCCTGGAAGGAGAACGAGAAGTGAGACTTGTGCAGTAGTGCAGCCATCTGCACCGCTGCACGAGACTGGCTCTAATCCTGAGCGCGGCACCCCCTCGTTGGCCTGGCGAAAGCGGAGCTGAGACCCGCAGAGGGTGGGGAATCGGCCCGTCGCTCGTCGGCGGTCCCCGCTGCGCAGGCGTGGGAGTCAGACTGGCGGGACGGTGCCTGGCATGCAGGGTTTGGGGGTGCTCCATGGAAGGAAGACGTGCCTGGCATCCGCCCACTCGCCAGCAGGCAAGGGCATAAGCAAGCTAAGCTCAGGACCCCTCATGCTGCTGCCCACTGCAGCGGGCTGTGCCCGGCTCTCTGCCTTGCAGCTCTGACAGGCACTTTGGTTCTGCTGGCCCGCTCGCTTTGTCTTCATGGTGCAAGCTCCATGTGCACCCAAAGGGCCGGGGAATGAAAGTGCACGTGCGGTGACCCCGCCAGGCCTGTGCTCAGAGGTTTCGGCAGCGCTTTGCTGTCTCCCATCCTGCTTGGCCACTGGGATTATAACAGCACAGCCTGGTAGCTGAGCCTCCCCGCCCCAGCTCTGCCTGGCAGCCCAGCCTCACTTTGCTGTGGAAAAAGCCAGACAGGTTTGTGCCCACACTGGTGAGATCTTGGTTGTCACTAGGGACTCAGCCCACAGGAGGTGAAATGAGGGGGCAGGGGCCCTACAAATGCCAGCAGGGCCGCTTGCTGCTGGACAGGCGACAGCAGCCTCAGCACAGGAGCTCTGCAGCTGGTTGAGGGCCCCCGCGGCGATGGGACTCACCGAAAGGATGCGGTCTCCTCTCCGCAGCTCCCCACTGAGGTCGGCAGGGCCTCCGGCCAGGATAAAGGAGACGAAGATCCCCTCTCCATCCTCGCCTCCAACGATGTTGAAGCCCAGTCCCGTGGAGCCTTTGTGCAGGATGATTTTCCGGGGCTCTCTAGGTGAAGAGACACCAGACATTTAGAGGGCAGGGAAGCTGCGCGCAGTGCCCTGGCTGTGGTGCTCTCCAGGTGTGCAGGAGGCAGGGAGCTTTCTGCCACACCTGGAATCCGGCAGGGCTGGAATCTCCCCCTGCATCCTGAGCTCAGCCTCTCGCGGCTCGCTCGTCAGCCAGTAACGAGGAGGTTGACGAATCACAGAGCAGGTGCTGGGAGTTGCACCAGCCCAGGTCACGAGACCTGGGCAAAAGGCTGGAGGAATGTGGAGCTCAGCGACTGGCTGAACGGGCCTCTTTGTGCGCAGAGGGACGGCGCTGGGGAGGAAGGACTTTGCCTCCAGAGCAGCGCTCTGCAACGGGCTCAGCAAAGGCCGTAGCCTGGGCAACGTGCTCCTGGCTGGCAGCGAGCGGGGAGGCATTAACCAGGTTGTCAGACTAGGAGTAATCGTTCAAGACAGCATCAGGGGAGGTGACCTGCACAGTACACTTTGCATATTTGAAGACAGCGTGTGACAGCCTCCGGCACAGCCACTCACGAGTGCCTGGAGGCCTGATAGCGAACCAGCACTAACAATTCCTATCATCAAGGCGCTGTTTGCACACTTAGAGTGTGCGCAGACCTGGGCACAGGCACTTGTGCCAAACAGGGATGCTCCCTTTGACCGTTCCTGTTTGCCTTTATCACTGATGTCATCGTGAGAGAAGGCGCCGTCTCACGGCTTTAAAACAGCACGCTACCAGATCTTGACTGTTTGCTGATGAAACGGTGCTTCTACGTTACAGTTTAAACTGCCAGAGTGAAAAACCAGTCCAGCATCAGGAAAATACAGGGGCAAATAAAAATCGAGCCTAATGAGCACGCCTGCCTGTTCCAACTCCAGCCCTGCAATCAAAGGCAGAGGAATACACGTGGTAAGTCGATTAACATACCTTGGCAACAGCATGCAACCCTGCGGGGATGTCCAGGAGGCAATAACGTCACGACTTGGCCAGGTGACAGTGGCATTGATCAGCTTAAACAAGATTTGGCCTCTGAACATCGACTTTAGAAAGGCCAAACTCCACATCTCAGCCCAAATGCTATTTCCACTTGAATATGTGGAAGTGAAAGCTGGAAACTCACCAAAAGATACAGATGTCTAACTAACTTCAAACACCCATGAAAATACTAGGCATTAACTGGAATGACTGTACAGCAAATGCCGAGACGTGTCAGAGTTCAACTACCCCAGCGCTTTCCAACCATTATGCATTTGCGGAGCCCGGGGTGACTGGTGCCTCCTGAGTCTGGGGGGGCACAACTTGTGGGTGGGCCCGGGGTCGGGCCAAAAGCCCCATATCCACTCCTGTATTTCTGTGCCATGGCTTAGTGCCCCCCCAACACACTGCTGGCCCACGTGGCAAAAAAACTGCCCCGTCCTGAGCAGTGCCAAGTTGGAGGCCAATCTCAGGGGGGGCATGTGCCCCCCTGTGACAGCCCTACCAGTTTCCTGTGACAGACCCCTAACACTTTTCAAATGGAAGTGCGGACCCCTTTTTTATTCTAAGTGTGGGTATTCACGGACTTATTCGCAGCTGGGGAAGGGAAGACTTTGGGCTGGGAGCTACGCTGGGATCACGGAGAGTTGCAGCCCGGGCAACCCGCCGTGGGGCTAGGGCGGCTGGGCGGCAGCATTGCAGGGACGCTCTTGCGCGAGCCCAGCAGGACAGACGCACCGGGGACAGGCTGTAGCCCTTTCACTGACACGGGCATCCTGGCTGCAATGTACAGCACGGGGCACGGACCACCAGCCGAAACAGCCTCCTCGGCCCCCCTCGGTTGGGGTGAGTGCTACTCAGCGAGAGGGGCCTTACAGGAGAGCAATGGGAGGAGGAGAGAAGCAGGAGGTGCTGGGTGCCCGGTAGGAAAGTCTGGCTCTCCCGGCTTTGCCCCCCTCATCCCAGTCCTGCAGGGAAGGGGTCAGGCTGCCTTCCCCCAGTCTTGGCCGGCCTTTCGCCGTATGGCTACGAGCTCTGGCTGTGGCAGCTAAACAAGCATGTCCACTCAAGCATTTACCCCTTCTGATGGCTGAACCCGCAGCCTGGGAGCCCCGAGCGCCACGGCTTTAGTGTTTCACCAGACAGGCAGGCAGGCAGGCACCGCTGTCCCAGCTGCAGCGAGGGCTCCTCCATGCAAGGCAGCTCCCCACCGGGGCCCAGAGCTGCAGACACCAGCTCCGGGACACAGAGACCTTGCACCGCCACGACACAAGCATCCGTGCCCAGCTCCAGCCCATGGGGGTGAATGGGAACGGCGCACACCGCCTCTGCCCTTGAATGCGAGCCCTGAGGTCGCAGCAAGCAGCCTGGACAATCTCAACCCAGACAGCAAGGACTTCTGGCCAGTGCCAGAGTCACGTCCGCCTGTGCACAAAGGTGCAGAAACCTCCCCCTGCTCGCTGCCAGAACCGCGGTCCCTTCTCCCCTGCCCGCAGCTCTACCGGAGCTGGCGTAGCGGCACGGCGGTACGGTACCTCTGGTCACGTTGCCTCCGGGGGTCTGGCTGCTGTCTGGAGGGAGAGACGGATGCGGGGTGTCCCTTGTAGGACATGGATGACGAGATGTTGACGGTGAACATTGCAGAGCTCCCCGCTCTGCTCGTGGCCTCGCTGCCTGGCTGCTGCTCCTCGCGGGGAAGCGCGGAGAGGAATGTCCTGAATGCTCTCAGCTCTGCTCCCCTGCTCTGTTTATCTCTGCCGTCTCTCCCGGTGGTGCGCAGGGCACTCAGCGTCTTCAGCCCGGCTCCGGCTTTTTTATAGAAGCGTGGAGAGGACGCAGACTTTGGCATGCACTTCACTCCGCCGAGGCCTCGCGGGCTTAACTCGTTCCTCCCCTGGCAGGCAAAGCCAACACCGTCTGAGCCGAAGCGAGGGGCCGCAGAGGGAAGGCCGGATGGACTCGGAGCACCCCGAGATGATGGCCCCACTTTCCCAGTCCCTGCTGCCAGCATGGCCGCGCCGGCAGCTTTGTAGCCCCTCTCTCAGAAACGCAGAACGGCAGGGCATCAAAGCACCATCTGCACCCCCAGGACGACAGGTGTGTCCGGCTGAAGCTCCACGTGCGGGCTGCGGCTCGCTGGCCGAAGGTCCCTTGGCTCATGCTGCCCGTGCAGACTGGTGCACGCAGTCTGGGGCTCTGCACCCACCAGGCTGCTCATGAAGTCACTAAAGGGGCAAGTAACGGCACTCTGAAATGCTCTGCTGGGGGCGGCTTGCGCGGCTGTCTGCCCAGGCAAAGCAGGAGGACGGCGTATCAGCCTCTGTCCTCTGGCCTGGCAACAGCGGTGAGCACCGCATGCTGAGGGCGTCTGTCAGGGCAGCCTCGTGCCCGCACCAGGGACCAGTGTGCCAGCACATGCCACCCAAGGGGCTTTCAAAGGAGCTGTCGGGTACGTGTGCTCGCAGACAGACACACTATGCCTGCAATGTCTAACAGAGCGCTGCCTTCAGCCGCTGCCCCCCAACCTGCTGTCTGCACCCTCGCTCCACCCCAGCCTGCACGGCCTGCCCCAGGCCCCTTCCTCTCACTTCCAGCTCTGTGCTGGCAAGTAGGGGCGGGCGGCGGGACTCACTCGGGGAACTCACCAGCATGGAGGGGCCGAGCCTGGGGCGGCGGAGCTGGAACGCAGCGAGGCTGCCCGTGGGGAGCTGGGCGGAAAGCATGCATGGTGCAAAGCAAGGCAGTGCCTGCCCTGAGCTGCCTTTGCAGGTGCGGGGACCACAGTCCGCAGACACTCCAGTATCCTCCCTCCAGGCCTGGAGGCTTTGCCTGGGAGAAGGGAGGGATGGCTTTGGCCCCACTCGCCCTGGCCCCCGGAGGCAGCAGGTGCTGCAGGAGCCAGGGGTCCCTTGCTGCTATGGAGCCACTGGGAAGGAGACCTGCCCCACCGCTCTGAGCAGCAGCGGCCTTAATCCCTAGCCATGTGTTCAGCTTGCAGGAAGGAGACTGCTCCCCAGAAGAGACCGATGCCTTCTCCATCTGGGGCTGCTCTAGTTTTTTGGCTATGCTGCAGTGCAGAGAGCAGCGCTGAACTGACCCCCGCACTAGGCTTCAGGCCACCAGGCTTTCTGCAGATACGTACGAGCGCTGTTTCTCCTGCTCGTCGGAGGTTGGCTTGCCGGGCAGAATGTGCTGCAGACGATAAGCTGTAAGTGGAGATCTTGCCCTGCCTTGTGTCTTGCTCACCAGCTTTAGAAAGAAAAACTCTCAGGATTTTCCATGCCGTCAGAGTCCATTTCTTCTCCTGGGGCTGGAAAGGCCTCTTCGTTCTGTTCCTGGTCTCCTCAGGGTCCCCCATCTCCCGTGCGACTCACTGGGTGATGGTCACTGCTTTTGCAGGACAGTGCTGCTGCCTGTGGAGGGGTGGTCCACCCACCACTGAGCCCAGTATGACGCGTTGTGTGCCCTGGGAATCATCTTCGGACGGTAGCTCTCCACGTGACCAGGAGCAGAGCAGACCTCTGCACTGCAATGCCGTGCCTGTGAACAGATGGCAGCCCGGACTGGCGGTGCTGCTCCCTGTGCGCGGGAAAATGAAAACAGGAACAAATGAACGGCCGTTCTGCCTCAGCCCGGAGCCCGATGATGAGTCCAGCATCCGCTCTGACAACGGCTGGTACCAGATGCTTGGGAGGAAGGTGGGTGAAGGATGCTCTGGCTGTGGCTGCACTATAAGGACTCGGACAAGAGTTCAGAGAGGGAGGATAAGGAAGGATGTCTTTTGTTCAGTGCAACAGGCCAGAATCTTCTCTTACACCCCTGGAGGAGGAGTAGGGAGCTATCCCCGGAGACGGAGTCTCAGTCTGACGTTACGGCCCCACATTCAAGAAGATACAAGGGGATCATCAACACCTAGAAGGGGTCGGGGCAGAGATGCCTCTAGCAGCACGGTGGGCTCTAAGGGTCATTTCTAACTCGACTGGAGCGGTGCCACTCGCTGCAGGGCTGCACCTCAGCCCCAGCCTGGGCCACGGGGTCAGGGCTGACTCAGACCCCGATGGCAGGCAGGAAAGGGCTAGCAATCCTCTTCTGACATGGCCGTTTAGTGGAGAGGCCATGTCTTGTCACGCAACTGTGAAGAGCCTCCGGAGACCGCGCTGGCCTCCGTCCAGACGTTGGGTGCCGCAGGGTGCTCTCGCTGCCCGCAGGTCTCATGCATACACAGAGACGCCGCCGGGTCGCTGCTACCTGCGAGAGCACCGGGTCACTGCTGTCTGAGACCTGCCTTGATGAAACTTCTCCAGCAAACGATTTTTCATCTGGGGCTTGGGATTTGGCAGTTGCCTCCCCTTCCTGCTAGAGGAGGTGAGGAGGAAGCCATGCACAGTGCTGCAGACCAGGGGCATGATGAGGGTGCTCTGAGGGTTGCTGAGAGAGACATGTGGGGGCTGCCAGGGAGGCCGCTGAAGGCCAGCTCACGGAGATGGAGAGAAACGGGCACAGCCCAGGCAGGCGGCTCGCTCAGGCAGAGCCCGGGACACAGCAATATGCTGCGAATCAAAGCCTGGAGAATCTGGGCCAGGCCTGGGAAACAGCAGCCGGCGCTGGCGTGTCACTCTCGCTCAGTGTTTCTCCATCGGTGCATCCCCAGAGCCTCTTGCACGCCTGTGCTCTCGCCCGACCTCCTCTGAAGAGTGCAGTAACATCCTCTAGCGGCCAGGAACCGGCACGGCACCACGCCTGCAGCCAGACCCCGCACGTGTCTCACGCCTGTTGTGCTCAGGGGCAGAGGGGCGGAGCGTGGAGAGGAGCAGAGAGGCTGATTTAGCCCCTTTCTGTTCCCCCCAATGACAGCAGCTGATGCACACACGGGCCAGGTGGCGATGAGAGCACCCTGCCCTGATAAAACGACCCGACCGTGTCGCTGGTAATGGACACCCCAAAACTGCAGCTTTTAGCAGCGTGGGGAGTGGGTGCTGCTGTACTCTCACTACAGGGACTGCAATTACCTTGGCAGAGCCAAGGGCAGGAACATCACTGCATGATCTGAAAGCCATGAGCATCACATGGTTTTGAAGCTGCCATCGTTGGCCTGAGAACGTAGGAGCTGCTACTCGCGGGGAAGAGAGAAAGCAGGAAACAGCTGAGCCTTAGCTGCTGCAACCACTCGGTAGTGACAGGCCCCAGCAAAGGTCGCACGAGGCACAGCACAGCCCCCATCCCAGTTGGGCTTCAGATGCCAGGGCAATACAAGTCAATAAAGAGATGTGCTTTGACTGAGCCCCCACTCCACGAACCCCCTGAAATGAATTCAGGCAGCTGAGTCCATAAAGGACTCCTTCAAACCAGGGCTCACAGAGCAGAAGTGCACGCATGGCCCAGGAAGAAGAGGTGCACACGGGCTGCCAGTGCTTCTCCACCACTAATGTCACCAAGGACCACGGTATCACCTCCAGGGGACCCAGCGCCTGGCCTCAAGGCAGAGCGGGAGGCAGGCCTGCCACCTTCGCCGGGCACCACCACGAGAGCACAGAGCAACTCAGATTTCAAAATGAAGTAAATGAAAAATCCAGAAGCAGGAACATGGGGGTGCACAAGTCCCAGGACAGTTCGAAGAGGAAGAGAGGAGCACAGGGAAAAGAGGGAATGGGAAAGACGGGGGAAACAGGGCGAGAGCAGCAGGGGCACATGGGACCAGGACCCCTGCACAGCTGCCTCCACTGACCCTGCCTCTCGTTCGGTATCGGAGCGCCGAGCTCCACGGAGAGAGCCGTGCGTGCGTGGCCTAACGGAGCCGCAGCTGTCCCACGGACATTTGAAGATAAACAGGGGCTTTGTGCTGGGCGAGAAAGCGCAGTGCCTCGCGGCCCCGACTCACCTGGTGAAGTCCTCCTCCCCAATCATGTGTCGAGGGATGGGCGAGTACCTGGATGGGGTCACCTGCGGGGGGGCCGGGTAGGCAGGCTTGTTCTCAACGCCGCCCAGGTAACCCAGACTGGAGTTATGGCTTATGTGGTTATCGGCCAGGGCTGAGAAGGCTGCAGGGAAAGGAAAAGACAAAATCAGGAGCCGAAATCCCAGAGCCCGCCCAGCGGGACAGCAAGCTCCACGGGCCCCCGCTGCTAATGCACGTTTCATGAAGTGCCAGAGCAGCGCGGCTGGAAGGGCCCTGCAGAGATCATCCCGCGCCGCCCCTGCCGGGGGCAGGATCAGCCCCACTGAGCCATCCTACAGACGCCCATTACCCAACCTCCGCGTAGCAAAACTACAGTCGGCCCTGACACGGCTGGGTGCTTGGGCTCAGCCCCCCAACAGCGCCCGGGGCTCTCGCTGCGAAGCCCAGCCCTCCTTCCTGGATCCTACGCGCCGCTCTCCCTTCGTCCCGCTGCGTCCTCCTTGCCAGCCCCCAACCATGCCCCCTGCCCCCCAGGGCTCCCCGCCCTTCCCCTCCCTGAGCCGTGGCCGTGGCCGTGGCCGTGGCCAGGCTTGGCTTCTTGGCTGGGCAGGCCTGGCTGCGGACGACGTACTGCTGGCGTAGTCGGGGGGCGCATACATGTCGTTGAGGTGGACGTTGCCGGGCTTGGCCACTTTCAGGTACACCATGTCCGAAGTGTTTTTCAAGGCGGCCACCGCCTCCTCGTGCCGCACGTCTTGTAGGTTTGTGTTATTCACCTGCAAGAGAGACGTGGCGGGACGGGGGGAGGAGGGTGTGAGGAGGGGCAAGGAGACGGGGCAGAGGCACCGGGGCAGAGGAACGCAAGCCCGGCCAACTGTTTACCAAGGGGCAAGACAGCCCCCGCTCCCCACGCCCACGGGATTGCTACCGCACCATCCCACCCCCACAACCTCCTGCGCCATCGCTCCATCCCTTGCACACGCCTGGAAGCGTGTGCAAGGGATGTGACTTCAGCTCCTTGCCCAGCACTGTGCTTGGAGGGCCCTTCTGAAATGTCACGCCTGATACTTAGAAACCTTTTCCCAATTCCTGTCTGAATTTGTCTGCACCTGGTTTGTAGCCAGAGCTGTTTTCTAACCTAAAGAGCTCTTCTCCTTCCCCGTCTGCGCCCGGGAGTACTCATACAGGGTAAGCACATCCCCTCCCGACCTCTCTTCTGCGGAGCTCAACAAGCCCAGCTCCTTTAATCTTCTTTCATCAGAAAAAGTCTCCTTTCCCTTCACCATCTTCATGGCCCTTCGGTGACCTCGTTCCAGCTTATCTGCTTGAACATTACAGTGTCCTAAAGGGGTTTTTCCAATGCCTTCTTCAATGGGACTAGTACACCCTTGTCTGTGCTGAACATATGCTACCTAATCCCCCTGGTTTGCACTACGAGGGGCCAGGGAACTGATTTAATACATTCCCTCTTTACTTCACGAATAGATCCCGGTGAAATGAGAGGTGCCGTGGTCCCGAGTGGAAGTTAAACAACATATCCTGGGCATGTCTGAGCTCCAGGGACAGCTGGGGTCTGCTTCCTCGGCAGCATCCCACAAGAATGTGATATTTAATGTCCTTTCAAATGCCAGGTACTTATTTGTCTTCACACCATAGAAACTCCTCCCCAGGGCCACCCCGAGCATGCACGCAGCCCAGCTCCGTGCAGCATGCAGGTGCTATCCCACAGCACAGAAACACCATCGTCCTCAGCCAGGCTGGTCATTCAGGGCCCAAAGCGTGGGCCCTCCCCAGCCCAAGGGAGCTGGGGGAACCCCTGGCTGGCAGACCTCGACCATCACGTCCCAGTAGCAAAGGGCTTGGTGTCTGTGGCACCAGCCCTGTCAACAAATCACCCTGGCCTGCGAAGGCCCAGCACAAATAGCGAGGGCATCGACAGCCAGCAATCACAGGCTCTGTAGCCAGGAGCGGCTGCTTTGTGCCGCCCCAGTGTCGTGAAGCAGCTTTTGCTGGTCCTTCATCCCCGCTGCCATGCTCCGACGGGCTCCCGGGGTAGCAGTCCTCTGTCCCGCTGACAGTCGAATTGCAGGGAGTGTGAACTACCTTCCCGCTCCTTCCCCACGTCCCCTCCATACCCTTGCAATGGAAGAGACAGGGCCCTGGCCATAGAAAGGAAGAGCTAATGCTTCCCAGATGGTGGGAAAGGGGCACTGGAGCAATGGGCAGCCCGGGCAGCACAGGGAACCAGGACCGGTGCCAGGCGGTGCCTCCCGTGCTCACAGCCCTCCCTGGCGCCTTTGCCGCCCGTGGCTGGCGTCCAGAGCCCGCGTGAAGAGGTGCGTGCTCACCGCGAGCAGCCGGTCCCCGATCTGCAGCCGGCCGTCCTTCTGGGCAGCCCCTCCCTCGATGATCTTGGTGATGTAGATGCTGTTGTCTCCTGGGATGTGCTGGTTTCCGATTCCACCCGCGATGCTGAAGCCTAGTCCTGCGGGGAGAGCAAGAGGGGATGAGGGGAGAGCAAAGAAAGCCAGGCCAGAGGCAGTGTGTGGGGAGCAAGAGCTACCCGACAGTGAGGACCAGGGGTGCCGCACAGCCCCGACGGGCTCCTTTCCCTCGGCCCCTCCTTTCACATCATCAGGCTCTTCCTCCGGCCTGGGCACAGGGACGTGCTCGGAGAGGAGCCAGCAGCCCCAGATCCCATCTGCAGGCTGGGGCTGGTGAGAGCTCCTACCCTGGGCACAGGGTAAGGCCAGTGGGCTCCAGGCCCACAGAGAAGCTGACCAGTGGCGTGACCTGGGTTTGGGGGGAGACCCAGGGGTCCTGGGATGCAGGCACGGGAGAAGCTGGGGAGGTCTGGCCCCGGTGCACGGGGGTGTCCAGAGATGCCCACGTGCCCTCCCGCGTGGCTGGACCCACGGGCGGTTCAGGTGGCGCGGGGGAGCTGCAAGGCTCCCTTGCCCGCTGGCAATGCGGCCGCGCTGCGGTCAGAGCCGCACTCCCTCAGCCCAGGCTGCCGGGGGCCGGTCTCATTGCAGGGCCAATGGAAGAGGTTTCACCTTTGGGTCCTTTCATCAGGTTAACCTCCATGATGGTCTCTGGCGGGGGCTGCCTCCGCCGCACCACGAGCCGGACCACGGGGCCGGCCTCCTTCAGCGCCTCCACGGCTTTGCTGTGCACCACCTCGGAGACGTCCACGTCGTTCACTCTCAGGACACAGTCGTTCACCCTGCAGCGGTGGGCAGGTCGCTGGTGAGCCCCCACGTCTCGCGTGCCCCTCCTGGGGCATCTGCAGCATCCCCTTGGGAGTCCCAGGGACCCCGTGGCCGCCCCAGCTGCCCTGGGCCAGGGCCACAAGCTCTTTGCAGGCCCACAGGGAACCACAGGGAACCGCGCTCTCAACACAGACCTCCCTGCTCTCCCCGAGCCAAAGCGCAGCACAAGCACGCTGCATCCTGACGCTGCGCCTGTGGGTAGGGCTGCCGTGTGGGAGGGAGCCTGGACCCCAAGTGCAAGTGCAAGGGGTAGGTGTGTGACAGAGGGCACTGATCCCTGACAGGCAGAGAGGTGAAAGAGGGCCGGACCCCAGTCCCGGCAGCAGTGGGGCCGGATCTCCTACTGCAGGTGAAGAGGGACTGACAACAGGCAACGATGCTCTGTTCATGGCTCTCCTCCCTGCTGAGCACAAGCTGGCATCTCCCCACCCTCTTCCATCTCCACCTGCCGCCCCCTTGCCGCTCCGGCCCCGGTTTCTCCCACACAGCCCCCCTGCCAATCCCATCCCTTTGCCCCACAGAGCTGTACTGTTGCCCATCGGTCCTGACCCGTCCCTGGACACTCACCCTAGACGGCCGTCCATAGCTGCAGCTCCACCGGGGATGATTTTGGTGATGAAAATACCTGGATCATCTGGAATATGAGGGTTGTCGATACCTCCTGCAATGCTGAAGCCGAGGCCGGAGTTACCCTGGGGAAAAACAAAACACACCAGGCCCTTATCACAAGAAATTTGCTCCGTGGTGGCTTGTGCATCCCCTGAGCTGAAGGCTGCAGCGCTGGCTCTCACTGCTACCTAGTGTTAGCGCATCCTGCACCTCCCGGGGAGAGCAGCCCCCCTCGCGCGGTCTCTCCTTGGGGCACCGCTGCTGCTGCAGCATCTGGGCTTGGCCCGAGGTGCCTGGCTCGGACAGGACAGCAGCGCGAGCTCTCCCCTCGACGGGATATGGAGGCTTGCTAGAGTTTCCCTTAACAAGGCTGTGCTTGGGCAGCCTCCTGCGACGCGGTCAGGTAAAATACAGAGGGGCACATTGCCCTAGGGGTTTCAGAGGTGTAGATCTTATTGTATACGTTATCTGCTTTTATACGTTATGTTCCTTTTTACTGTAAGCCGTCCTTATAAATCTAACAAATGAATAAAGTCAGAGGCTGAACTAGACTTCATCTGAATGCAAGCAGCCCCCAGCAGCGCCTCCTCCGGAAGAGGACATGTGCGCTGTAACGCCGTCTCTTCTGCATTCCCAGTACAGTCCCCTGGGACTCGTCTGCGTCTCACCACGGTAAAGAATTAGGCTCAGCACATGCCCCAGCTCTTCAGACAGCGGAGTGAGCTCTGTGACAAAGCCATGATATTATGCATCTTGTGAGACACGGTCTGACAACAGCCTTGTGAGGTAGGCAAGTATCTTAGCATCATTATCCCATTTTCCAGAGGGAGGCAGGAACTGAATCACAGAGAAATGAAGTGAATTTGTCCAGCTTGCTCAATAAGGCAGTCTGAAAACAGCATGAGATACCAGAGAAGTTGCAAACACATTCTGGATAGAAAACCTGGACGGGCTGACATGAATAGAAGGCAGATGACATCAGCAGACAGCATCGAGGTATGAAAACTGTGAATGAGAGGTGACCTTTAATTGCCATCTCAGGGATTATAAAACTGACACTGTTCATTTCAGTGTAGCTTTGCCTCGTTCTTCTGCCTGATGGAGATAACCCCAGACATGAATTAAGTCCTCCTGTTCATGTGGGTGCCATAATGCATTGAGACCAGAGCTGGTAAAATCTTTATTTCCCTAGGAAAGGGTTAATCTCTCCCAGACACGGCAGATTTTCTGGACTGATTGAAAAGGTGCTTTTTCTTAGCACTCACAGGGAGTTGAGGAAAGGGGAGCAGCTGATTTCTAGGAGATAACGCTGCTTATGGTTTCCAGCCATTTCTAGGATGCCACCCTATGCATAAATAAGACATCCCGGGAAGCACGGAAACGCTCGTCCTTGCTGCACGAGCCTCGGTGAGGCTCTGCGGGCCGGGGCCTGTGTCTGGCACACGGCGAGAGGGCGCCTGATGGTACAAGCTCATCATCCCGACCTGGGGCTGTTCTTTCTCTCGGTGGATTCAAGCTGCTTTATGTTCAGCCTGGAGAAAGCGATTTGCTGTCACTTGGAGACACCTCCATTGCTAGCTCATGCATGTTCCCCTGGTAATCTTGTGCCAGCGAAGAAGCAGGTTGCTCTCCGACTCAGACATGATGTCCCAGCACTTGAGTCATTAGTTCTGTTTGGCTGTGCTGGGGTAACTCTTGATGTGAGCTGACAGACAGACCCATTTGGCTTCCTCTGGGCAGACGAAAGGCAAGCTAGCTCCGGGACGGTGCTGCTCCCACAGCTGCCTGTTCGAGCGATGCTCTACCCTGAGCAGACACACGCCCTGACAGCGACCAGGCTTTCCACGTGGGAAGGGCTTCCTTGGCTGTTGTCTGAAGAGCTGCAGCACTGCTCGGATGTTTTCTTATAACCCCGTTTCGGGGATTTCCTAGCCGCGAGGCTGAATGCTACGCAACAGCACAGTAAATCCTGGCCCCCGAGCCCGTGGGGGAACTCACACGCGGCCGCACCGTGATCCAACCGCAGCCTTTGCAAGGAGGCCACGATTACAACAACCGGCCTTTTAGGCTCATAGTGCATGGGATGCTGTGGCTAAATCCCTGTCTGGCAGAAAGGGGACATCTTCTCCCCGGCTACAGGTGGAAAGAGGGCGGGCTGTCACTGCCGTGGTTCTTTGGCTGGGGAGCTGAACCAAGGCGCCAGGAACGTGAAGTGCAGGAGACGCAGAACAGGACGTGCCTCTGCACGGCTGGCATTGCCGTCCAGCCTGGTTCTCAGGCTCTGCCCAGGACACGAAGCAGCAGGTGCCTTTCTGTTTCTCGCTGCAACCGAGGAGGAACAACCGATGCAATCCGAGTGCGATCCTGCAATGTCCCTGCGGTGTGACCGCCGCTTCCCAGGGTCAGCTGGGCCAAAAGCGGTGGAGAGGCTCCGAAATGCGTGGGGGCTGAGTCTTGTTTTCTGAGCTCGGCTGGGAGGAAGCAGGGAGAAAAGGGGAATTTCTTGCGCTCCATAAATCTACATCCACCCCGAGGATCTGACAGCCAATGTGCCTTGCCTGACAGAAAAAATCACACCAAAAATCTAACAACTGCTGATCCACGTGAGGGCTCAGGCACCACGGGCCCGCAACACAGCGCTTCTCCATCTGTCTGTCCATCTGCTGCCTCTCGTCTCCTACTTGGACTGTAAGCTCTTTGAGGCAGGGACTGCCTTGCTCTATAAGGGTACGGCGCACGGCACCGGGGGTCCTGGTCTGGGCCTGGGGGCCCTCGGGGTCTGGGAAGGGCCCGCTGAGCTCCCGAGGACCTCCTCGTCCCTCACCGTAGGGCTGGGGTGCTTCCTAGACTGGTGCATCGGTGGGGACCGGGCCAAAGGCAACCGGGGGCCGCTGTCGGGGCAGGATCGCCTCTAGCCCATCCCGGTTATTGCACGTAGCTCCATTTTGAAGCCCAGCAGCAGGGACACTACGTGGCGCCACACGGCCGCATCTCAAGTCATAACGTCGGTGGGACGACGCGGGCTGAAGGCTCCGTCTACGAACAGCCCCTCGGACCAACGGGGCCAGGGAATAACCCGGGAGCGCGACTTCACCTTGGAGGGCTTGGTCCCTCCAGCCCCCTTCCCTATGGGTCTCTGCTTTGGATGCTCCTGTACATGGAAAACCTCTCTGTCCTTTGGCTAGAAAGGCTTAACCTTAACCCTCAGATAACCCGGAGTACCAGAGTTCACTGCATAGCAGACCAACGAAATAGCAAAGAACAATTTCCCCTCCTATTTAGCTGGTCTAATAAAAGAAATGACATTTACCTAAAGAAACTTGTCTTAGACCAACACGGCTACAACCAACGACCCTAGAGGTCACCACGACAGTCACAGCCCTGGGGACAAAACCCAGATGGTGCCACCCCCTGGAAGACACAGCACACATCTGGCAACAGCTGGAAAGCTGGCGCTGTTCTGGCCAGCCTGGCACTGGGACTGGCCTGCCGCATGCCACCCTTTCTGCCAGGCCCAGGAGCGCCACGATGCCCCACCAAAACTAAGCAGAAACCGGCCTTGCCCTGCCTCCGAGCCGCCTGCAAACAGGGCGGTTAGAAGAAACGGGGTCGACTCACACCAGGTGGGCCACCATCACAGACAGCCACACAACAGAGGTCAAACCTACCAGTGTCCACAAGCACGCTCCTGCGGTGCACCGCAAGCCCAGAAAGACTCCCAGCCCCCCATAAGTTGGGAGCAGAGAGCCCTGTGCACGCCGAGCCTGACAGGCGCTCCAAAAGCACGCACCAAATAACCTGCCAGCCTGCCTCCAGCCCTGTCGGGGCGCAGCTCTGCTGCACTCGTGCATCTTCCTGCTTCAGGGCATTCGGCCAGAGCCCTTTGGTTTCTGCAAAGCTGCTGCATATCTGCGGGCAGACTCAGGCCTCCTGCGTGCCTGGCTGGGGTCAAACCTCCCACCCATCTGCGATGGTCGCCCGGCCCCGAGAGCCCAGCCAGCCCCATCCCTGCCTTGCACGAGGACAGGCGCCCTTAGCCGCTCCTGCTCATCCTCTCCCCACCTGACAGGAGCTCAGGCTCCGTGCCTGCTCTCCCACTCAGGACCGGCAGCAAGCCTGACTCAGCCGGGCAGAGGACGTACGGGATTAGCGCGTGGCAGAGAGACACGTTCTGCTGAAACCTCCAGCTCGTCCTCGTACAAGCTCCTGTGTGGGAGCTAATTTTAGTCTTTGTCTGCACGGTGCACGCCATCAGCCCCGCTTCGGCGGTATCTCAGAGAGACAAGGAAAAGGCCCAAGCAGAGATTCCCCTCGTTCCAACCCAGTTACTAGAAAGCCTGTCTCCGCAGTTCAGGATCACCGTGCCGCGTACCTAGACGTGATACGCAGCCGGCTAACAGGCCGGAAGAGAGCACGGCCGACTCCGTGGGCCTGCCTGTCTGCTGCTCTTCAGACCCCTACTCTCCATCCTGTAGCTGAGCACGTGTGGGAGACAGAGCCGCCCCACCTCCCTCAGCTGTGCTGGGGGCGTGTATGTGCGGAGTGAGTGTGAAAGAGACCCACCTATCTTCCATCATATGGCGTGTGTGGGTGTGTAAGAGAGAGGGGGAGAGACACATTGCCTACTCGTGTGTGAGCATGTGCGAGCATGCGAGAAACCCCATGCATCCTGCGTGCATGCATGCATGTGTCAGGAGGCCAGCTGTGCGGGTGGGCGGGTGAGTGGGAGATCGCTGTGGGAAACACACAGCGCACAGTCAAAAGGCTGCTTTTCAGCCTGCGCTGACGCTCTGCTCTCCTGCAGAAGGAAACCCACATGCCCAGCACAAAGAGCGCGGCTCAGAGCAGCGCGCGTCGGAAAACACCGGCGTCTCACTCACCCTTTCCAGGACGATCTCCTCGTACTTAAACATCCCATCGCTGCCGTTCACCTGGCGAGAGAGAGAGAGAGAGAGACGGGGAGTTAAACCTCTGCCCAGCTCACGGGTCAGTCCTGGCCAGGAGCAAGAGGGAATCAGGCCCAGCGTCCTTGGCTTCATAACGGAAACCCTCGAGTGCGATCCTCCACTCGCATCCCTCCAATTAAATGCTCTGTGTTGTTCTTTGGGCCTGATTCAAAGCCCGCAGAAAGCAATGGCAGGACACACTGGCTTTAATGCACCTTAGATTAGACCCTTTGCCCTCATTTCTTTCATACGACTTAAAAAGGCGTACAATTAAACCACACAAAAGGACATGCCTTTGCTATGCAGCATATAATTAACCTCTGGAATTCCCTGCTGCATGATACCATTGAAGTAAATCAAACGGTACAGTGAATTGTAAAAAGACCTATACACAACAACACTTAGCATGTCTCTAACAGCTCACATCTTCCAACTGCTTTAGTAACATGAACTCCTTCTGGTGGACTGAATAATTTAGAGTATAATTTATTCCACTAAATTAGCCGGCCACAAAAGCAAACAGGATATTAGGAAGCACCAGGAACGGGATGGAGAA